GTCCCTGAACTTCTTTTGCTTAAGGCTAGCACTCTACCATTTGAGCCACAGTGCCACTTCCAGCTTTTTCTGCTTATATGGTACTGAGGAATTGAACCTAGCGCTTCAAGCATGATAGGCAAGCACTCTATGTTCCCAATCTGGGGAACATATCTTATAGCTATCCATCCTGAAATTTCCATTATATTGCTCTGTCCTTACTTCTTTCCTCATTAGCTACCTCATTTTACTGGGGTTTATCCTGAAGCAACTAACTGAAAACAGATGTGTGAGAGTGAAACTTTTTAAATCTTTGAATGTATTAGAGTCTTTAACATTTAGTTAAGAGTTTAACTTGGGTATAGTTGGAAGTAATTCTTCCCTGGAATTTTAGCCATTTTTTTTCTAGTATCCAGAGTTGCTAATAAAACAAAACTTACTACAACCTTGATTTTTGTTCTCTGGAAACATTTATGATTTTACCTTTACCCATGATATTCTGAAGCATTGCAATTATTCCTTGTTTGTAGATCTTCTTTCATTCAATCTGCTTAGCATTAAGTGAGCCTTTTGGATGTGCAGATTTATGTCTCATTTTAGGTCTAGAAAATACTTTTTTTCATTTGTTTTGGAACACTTGTTAGTCAGATATTAGGCTCTTTGATTTCCCACTCTTTTCTCTTATAATTTTCTGTTCTCGTTGCTTTTTGCCTTCATTTAGACTCTATTTTTATTAAGAGGACACTCAACTAGAGGTTCCAATGTTTGTTTCTGATTGCAGATTTTATTTTCCTGTGTTTGCTCTTACACTTTGAAAAAAATGGTATCATGTTCTATTTTATGGTAGAAATTTAATCTTTACAATAATTTCTATATAGTTACTTACAGTTTTCTATTACATTTGTTACATTCTTGCATTATCCTGTCTTCAAATATATGGCCATTTTTGGTTGTTTGCCTATGAGGTACTTTTATTATACCTCAATTTCAGTGAGAAAACTAAATCATACAGATGTTAAGTACATGCTCTGAACTATGCTATTAGTACGTAGTAAACTGGAGATTTGAATTTTTGTAGGGTAATTCCAGAGACTACTCTTTCAATCATGCTGTCTCTCTAATTATACTAGTTGCTTTGGTTTTCTTCCTAGAGATTAACTTAATTTGTTTAGAAAACAGATTATTTGGGGAATAAGAAGGAAATGCATGCAAGATGTCCTTTTTCTTTTCTTTTCTTTTCTTTTTGGGTCCGGTTGTGGGGCCTGAACTCTGGGCCTGGGTGCTGTCCCTCAGCTCTTTAGCTCAAGGCTACCACTCTACCACTTGAGCCACAGGGCCACTTCTGGCTTTTTTTCTTTTTTCTTACGTGGTACTGAGGAATCGAACCCAGAGCCTCATGCACGCAAGGCAAGCGCTCTACCACTGAGCCACCTTCCCAGCCTAAGATGTCCTTTTTGCATAGTTACCTCTGTCTTAGTCTAAGACTTCTGAAAAGATGCATTTTTAAACACTGCCACAAGATGGTAGATGGTGACTATATACACACAGTTTCTCCCACTGGTGAAAACAGATCTGGATTATTTTATTATCTGATTATTTTACTGTTATATTATATTATTATATTATCTGATTTTAATTTTAATTATCTGATTCTGAAATCTGTTTCCAAAAATTTTAAGATAGAGTTGGCATGTATGTCAGAAATGACAACTGTATACTTTTGCTTCTGCTGAAAATGGTATTTAGAATGTATCTGTTCTTCCACGTCACTCCACCCTGCTCCCAACATGCTGAGAATGATCGAATTTGTCTTATTAACAAATGCAAACTGTAAGACTTCGATAATTATAAAATAAGCATCCTGGAAGTCAACTAAAGCTGAATTCTTTTGTTGTTGTTGTTGTCCATTGTAGGGCTTGAACTCTGGGCCTGGGAACTCTTCAGTTCAGGGCTAGCGCTCTACCACTTGAGCTACAGCGCCACTTCCTAAAGCTGAATTCTTAAATACACTTTTATCATGTCTCATACTTCATATTATCATAATCTAAGATGCACATACATTTAGATGGTTTAAAGCTGCTGGTTCCAAGTACTTCAAGTAAAGCAAATTTGTTAATGATCTCAACTAGAATTGTACTGAACTATACTATCTAAACCAAATACAAGACAGTCTCCAACTTGATGATTCTCAACTTTACACTGACTGGAAAGTGACATGCATCCAATAGAAACCAGTCTTTAAACGTCTGAGTTTTTATCTTTCATGAGGTTAATGCTGTGTGGTGCGCACTGCTCTCTTGCAATACTGGCAGTGGCAGGGAGACATGGCTCCAGTGCCTCACAATTTTGTGAGTAATCAACTAGACTTCGTAGGTGCTATGTTGTGAAACTATGGTGCTCAATAGGTTTGGTATATTAAATGCATTTCAACTGGATGCGTTTATCAAGATATAAACTCACAAGTCAAGAAGCAGTGGTGTCAGTAATTTAATGGCATGAAAACAAAATGACTTAAATTGTTTAGTTAAAAAACACAAATTTTGTGGCACAATCTTAGGGTAAATCACTGAACTCTTCGACAGAGAGTTTATATATGTTAGGTTTAAAAGTTCTCATCTATCTAGCTTTGGAGATCTGTGAATTTTCATCAAAGTGTTAAGTTATACAATCAGATATATATAAATTCTTCAGATTTAGAATAGCTGTGTAAGTATTTATGTAAAAATGCGTGTATGTATAAAATATTACCTGTCTGATAGGATACATCTTCTGTGTGCTTTCTGCAGGGCTGTGCTAAATATGGGGAGAACCTCTGCCTTTATAAAAGACTGATGCTAAGTACAAAGTATAGCAGACATCCAATCTTTCATAGCAGCTTCAGTAACAGAAACAATTCAAGCTATTTTAAACAAAGAGCTGATATTGGGCAGAAAAATATGTGAACATATCTCATAGAACCCCAAAGCATTAATATAGCTAAGCTTTCCTGTAGCTTAGAAGTAGGAAGTGGAAAGCCATTAGACCTCAGCCCTGGCATTCTCACCTCTGCTTCACTCTGTACCTCTGCTTTCCTTTTCCCTTTCCTTCATAGTCCATCCACCTTTGATTCTCTCTGCATATGGTAAAAGAGGACTATCTGACATGACAGTTTTGAGTTTATACTATCCTACTGCAGCCCTAATAATCCCAAATTGTCTTGGCTTGAACTCAGGGCCTCCTACTTGCTAAGAATATTCTACTGCTGAACCATGGTTCCAATCCCTTTTTGCACTGGATGTTTTGAGGTAGAGCCTCACCTTTTGCCCAAATTTAGCATGAATGACATATGCATGCCACAGATGCATGTTTCTTCAGCTGAAATGATGTCTCATAAGCTTTCTTTGCATGTACTGGCCTAGAACCAAGATCATTCTGATCTCAGCCTTCCAAAGTATCTTGGATAACAGGTTTGAGATACAAATGCCCAATGTAAATTTCATGCTTGCTTGCTTTCTTTCTCTTTCTTTTCTTTTCTTTCTTTCTCTCTCCTCGCTCTCCTCTCTCTCTCTCTCTCTCTCTCTCTCTCTCTCTCTCTCTCTCTCTCTCTCTCTCTCCCTCCTGCCCTTCTCTCTTTCTTTTGTTTTTTGTCTGAGACTGGAACTTGAACTCAGTGCCTGATGTTTTCACTCATTGGTTAGTGCTCTACAAACGGAGTCATGCCTCCAGTCCCCTAAATTCTTTCTTAAACTGAGATATTTCCTCCCTTCTGGGAATTTCAATTTGGGATTGCAAAAAAGAAGTTTCCTGATAACTTTGTAGCCAAGAAATTGTGGCCAGAATGGAGATTTGAGAATTTGTAGTATAAATAACTATAGCCTACTTTTTTTTTTTTGTCAGTTGTGGGGCTTGAACTCTGGGCCTGGGCGCTGTCCCCCAGCTCTTCAGTTCAAGGCTAGTGCTCTACCACTTGAGCTACAGTACCACTTCCGGCTTTTTCTGTTTATGTGGCGCTGAGGAATCGAACCCAGGGCCTCATGCATGCAAGGCAAGTACTCTACCACTGAGCCACCTTCCCAGCCCCTATAGCCTAATTTTTTGATGGGGAAGTGTTATGTTTTAAAGATCTACTCATTTATCTATCTTTGGGGATCTGTGAATTTTCATGAAAGAATTAAAGGAAGAATATCATTGAAATCTAGACAAATCCTTTTCCATTTTCAATATGCAAATGTATATACACTAACTTTTTAAAACAAATGTCTTTTTGTGAACATATATGCATACTTCTACCAAGTATAATCCTAGAAAAAGAATTGCTCTATCATAGAATATATGTATGTTAAGCTTTGTAAATACTACTACTAAGCTTTATAATACTATGATTACTTCCAAATTAGTTGTATCAATTATGTTCATACCAAAATTAATAATAATTGTGATTATATATCTGTATCAAGTTATTTTCTAATAGCTGCATAGTTATACCTCATTATATATTAATTTTTACTGCTTCACTGTCTAATGTGAATAGAAGGATTGATATGATACTTGAGATTTGCTTTAAAGGATGAATGGGGAAAATTCAAGCGAGATTTGAATAAAACAACTTTATCCATGAATTGATCATTGTTTAAATTGGTTAATCAGTATCTAACAGTTCATTATATCCTTCTGTATATCTTCGAAAAATTCCCATAGTAAGAAAACTAATTTTCATTCTAGTCTACTTTATCAAATCTGTAAGTTTTTGTACATATTTTCTTCCTGATAATGGCTATTAGAATGAAGTAGACATAGAAAAGGGAAAATTCATATAAAAGAATAATCAAATACTTTCTGACCTAAATACCATTTCAAATAGAGAAATATTAACTATAAGAAAGACTTCCTACCATATACCAACATACTATTAATGCATGATACTTAAATATCTAATTTCAGAATATCCCTGAGTGAAGTAGTATTTACAGCAATACTCCTCCCTGGCCTTACTGATGTTTTAATACAAAATAGGTATTATAGAAATTAAAAGAGATATTTACCTTTACAAGCTCCTGTTACAGCAGACCTATCTGGATGTTCAAAATGGGAAATATCTGCTTCTGATTTTTTCTGCTTAATTACTTGACTTCCAAAGCTCTTGGGTCCTAAATAAAAGACTGTAAACTTTTGCTGAATATCAAGTCCAACTAGAAAGAGAAAAGGTCATAAATGAGGCCATATATGAGGACATGTTCCTTTTCTCTCTCTCTCTCTCTGTCCTAGGGCTTGAACTCAGGGTCTAGTCACTATCCCTGAGCTTTTTTGCTCAAGGCTAGTGCTCTACCACTTGAGTCACAGCTTCTCTCCCAGCTTTTTGCTGGTTAATTGGAGACAAGAGTCTCAGAGACTTTCCTGCTTGGGCTGGGTGTCAAACTGTGATCCTCAGATCTCAGCCTCCTGAGTAGCTAGGATTACAGGCATGAGCCACCAGCTCTTTCATCATTTCTTTCTTTTTATATCTCTTATACTATTTTAACACTAGTGATAAAAATTCCAGGAAAGAGCCAGGTGCTGGTGGCTCACATCTGTAATCCTTGTTACTCAGGAGGCTGAGATCTGGGGATCATGGTTCAAAGCCAGTCCAGGCAAGAAAAGCCATGAAACTCTTATCTCCAATAAACCACCAGAAAACCAGAAGTGGCGCTATGGCTCAAACGGTAGAGCGCTAGCCTTGAGCTGAATAGCTGAGGGACAGTGCCCAGGCCCAGAATTCAAGCCCCACCACTGAGCAAAAAAAAAGAATTCCAGGAAATAAAAACATTCTTAAAAGCAGAAAATGTTTGACAAATAAAAATGAGTATATTAATTTTCATTAAAAATGTTTCTATAACTATTGAAATTTAACTGTGTTAGAAAATATCTATAGGGGCTGGGAAGGTGGCTCAGTGGTAGAGCACTTGCCTTGCATGCATGAGGTCTTGGGTTCGATTCCTTAGAACCACTAAGCAGAAAAAAGAAAGCTGGAAGTGGCACTGTGGCTCAAGTAGTAGAGCGCTAGCCTTGAGCTGAAGAGTTGAGGGACAGTGCCCAGGTCCAGAGTTCAGGCCCACGACCGCCCCCCCCCCAAAAAAAAACGCAACAAAACAAGAAAATATCTATAACTGAACAAGTCAAATTTGAACTATCCTGATCTATGTTCTATTTTCCACATCAAAATAGATGATGTTTTCCTTAAAGCTTGTTTATATTATGTAAAGGTACCATTTTATTTAATATGATTTTGTTTATCTGTCTTAGCATAAAGGAAATAATTTTAAAAGCTATCATATTTTTACAGCTATATCTTCATTACTTAACTTACCAAAATCAGAGCTAATTAGATTTATGCTAAGATCTTCAGATATAAGAGCTCTCTTCACATCAATTTTTTTAACCCAGTTTCCAGCTTTTAGCAAAACAGAATCCCTGAAAAAATATAAACAATGATCTAGACACTGAAATATTAATTTTTAAGGGTTGATTACTCCTGATTAGTCTTCTCTAATAGTAAAGTGGGTACTGAAAACTACTTCCCCCAAATTCTGAGGAGGGCAAATAGAATATTAACAGAGAAATCTTTATATTTTTTATTTTTAATCTTCAAATATACACATCTGTGCATCAGGGTTACAATTTAACATGTCTACTTAAATGTCCAGTGTATCTTCATCACTCTCCCATCATTTTTTCCTGTCCCATGTATCCTCCCCACCATAACTGATATCAAGTTTTTCACTTCCTTTTTCACATATGTACATTGAATGTTATGATTATATGCATTCCCTGCAATGAAGCTATTTTGACCGTAATTTTCTTAACCATAGTTGAATCCAAGTTGCACTGATAAAGCCTATCTGGAATATATACCTACTATATATTAACATGATTTATAGTTAATGTTAACTCTATATGAATATATATAACACATGATCTTAATTACTTACATAATTTTGTGTTTAAAAACAACCTGATTGTCTGAATCACCTATGATTAAGGTGGTATAGTGAGAATCTGGTGCTGTTCGTTTAGTTTGTAGTTGTTCAAAGTTTCTTAACGTAAGTGTCACTAATATTTCCGCCATGGTATTACTGTATCTTGCAATCTTCAAAAAAGGATAGGCATATAAAAGTGTTTTAAAAAACAACCTTACTATTCATACCAGTTATAGTAGCTTTACTCTTAAGAAATAATCCAAATATTTAAGAAACAAAAAATATTTACCTGTTCTACTTCAAGTTCATACTTTGGAAGATACATCACAGCTTCTTTTATTTGAGTTCCAAAAGGAGGGTGTCTACTTAAAATCTGAAATGGAAATAAATTAATCATTATTTTCTCATTACATGCTTGCAACTCTTTCAATAGAAATTTTTTTTTCTGTCAGTCATGGGACTTGAACTCATGGCCTGGGCAATATTCTTGAGCTCTTTTGCTCAAGGCTAACATTCTACCACTGTGAGCTACAGCTCCACTTCTGATTTTCTGTGTTAATTAAAGGTAAGTAAGAGTCTCATACACTTTCCTGCCCATGCTGGCTTTGAAAGATCCTTGATCAAAGTCTCCTGAGTAGCTAGGATTAGACCTAGCACCCAGCTCAACAAAATATATTTTTAATCAATAAGGTTTTGTTTGTTCATTTGTTTTGGTGGTACTAGGATTTGAACTCATGACTTCCCAGTTGCTACATAGGCACTCTACCATCTGAGACACATCTCCAGTTCTAGAATCAATAGTTTTAATAATTATTACATATTATGTAATAATTACTCTAAATCCTTATGTCTATATTTATGACTATAGAAATATATTTATGACAAAATATTTATGACTATAGGAAATAATTTTCTATAAATAAGGTGATAAAAGTTGGGTTTTAGAATTTAAATTGGGCTTTGATAACATTAGGAATAAGTGAATACTAATTACCAGCTCAAGTTCTCTTGCATCTGTTGATTCAATTTTTTTAAAGGAAGTCAAACCTGCATTTACCATGGCATTTGACAATGTAATACCTGTAAAAAATTAATGGAACAATTTTTAAATAATCCACTTTAAATGAAACTTATACTCAAATACAACTACATTAATAAAAATATTTTGGGGACTGAGGAATATGTCTCAATAATAAGAGTGCTTGCTACCTTATATGCGACCTGGGTTCAGTCAGTCCCCAGCACTACAAAAATGAATAAAAGAAAAGCTTTAAAAATATTCAGCAAAATTTACAACTGTTATAGTTAGCATATTGTTTGAGTGTTATCCAAAGATCTAGATACTAGAAGCTTGGTCCCCGGTATGGGTGTTGAGGTGGTAGAACTTTACAAAGTAAGCATAATGGAAAGTAACCAAGACTTCTGAGTTCTAATTTACTAAAAGGTATGGTGGGATGGGTTGGAGTTGGTAAGAGTAAGCTTCCAAGAGAATGGGAAACTCTTCTAGTCCTTTTCTTGTTACCTGTGTGACTGTGATCTCTTCCCCAAGCATTCCTGCCATGATCTACATTATGATTCAACCCTTAGTTTTATCTTATCTCCTAGTCTTATGAATTTCTCTTAGTCATTTTTAAAACACAACTTCTAGTATTCTTAACTCTTTATTGTTAATTTCCATACAGCAAACTCTAGCAAATAAACTCTGTATGATAGAAAAGCAACATGATTTAAGGATAGGCATATGACTTCAGAGTTAGGACTCTGAGTGTCTCTGTCTTAAAAATATAGTTCTGGGCTGGGAATGTGGCTTAATGGTAGAGTACTTGCCTACCATGTGTAAAACCCCATGTTTGATTCCTCAGTACCACATAAAGAGAAAAAGCTGGAAGTGGCGCTGTGGCTCAAGAGGTAGAGTGCTAGCCTTGAGCAAAAGTAAGCTCAAGGACAGTGTCCAGAACCTGAGTTCAAGCCCCAGGACTGGCAAAAAAAATAAGTGTGAGTGTGTGTGTGTGTATTATATATAGTTCTGTGTCTGTACCTAAGCCAGATCATTTTTCTTTGCTGCCTAAAACTTCCAATCTTTTTCCATTGCATTAAAATGACATTTCATACATACACACACACACACACACATATATATATATATATACATATATATATATATATATATATGTATATACACACACATACACACATATATATTTTACTGTGGCTGAATTCCCTACAGCTAGCCCTCCCATTTAATTGCTCACTACTCTCTTCTTACTGAATACTCTCTGCTCACACTGGCTTTGCTTTTCTTCCTTAAATATAGTTGATTTTTCCTTTGTACCTTTGTTATTTCCTTATGCTTTCGGGCACTGTAATTTTAAATTGATATGCCTGCATGAGTAAATTTTACCAGTCACTAAACAGGATTTTTTGTTTTGTTTTGTTTTATTTTGTGGTGGTCCTAGGGCTTGAATTCGGGGACTGGGAGCTCTCCCTTACCATATTTTGCTGAAAGGCTGATGCTCTCCCAACTTGAGCCACAGCTGCACTTCCAGCATTTTGGTGAAAAAATGGTATTTTAAGAAATGATACTTTAATTATCTCTGTATAAAGCACATATAATACTGATAAAAGTAACACCACTATTTTTTAAACTGTTCTTGGGAATTTCTCTGACATTTATTTATTTACTTATCCAGTACTGGGACTTGATCTCAGGGCTTGGTATTTTTACTCAGCTTGTTTGCTCAAAGCTGATGCTCTCATCACTTGAGCACTACTTCCAGCCCAGTTTGTGCTGGTTAATTGGAGATGGAGTCTCATAGACTTTTCTGCCCAGGATGACTTCAAAAACCAATCCTCAGTCTCAGCCTTCTGACTTTCTAGGATTATAAGCATGAGTTACCAATTCCTGGCTATCTTACCCATTCTTAAGACAAAAGCTTCCAGTATTCTAATGAATACTTTTTAATGTTCCAGGGTTCAAATGAATATACCTTAATGTTCATTTCCATTTTCCTCAAGACTTTTCCTGACTTTTAGCTTTCTTGTTGTTGTTGTTGTTGATCGTGGAGCCTGAACTCTGGGCCTGGGCACTGTCCCTCAGCTCGTCAGCTCAAGGCTAGCACTCTACCACTTGAGCCACAGTGCCACTTTCAGCTTTTTCTGCTTATGTGGTACAAAGGAATCAAAACCAGGCCTCATTCATATGAGGCAAGCACTCTACCACTGAGCCAACTTCCCAGCTCCAACTTCTAGCTTTTGAAAGTTTATATTTACTGTTAAAATCAATTAGTATTAGTTTCTCTTTATCATGTTCCATAAGCACTTAGATTTACATTTGGTTTAGATTTACATGTTTCCTATCAATATTTTTCTGAGGAATATTTGCTTTTTTTCTGTTCAGCTGTACTGAGTTTGTGTGATAGGCAAGTTAGTATTTGACAATCTGGAGAGGACAGAATGCAACAGGTATCCACACTTAATATCGTTGAAAGACTGGCTTTTTCAAGAATAATAACACTAATAATTATTTCACCTAATTTCAAATTGCTCTCTAAGGTTCTATTTTCCAAATGTTGAATAAAATCCTTGCCAGTTTAGAACACACTTGTCTTTGTAAAATGAATATGGCATTTCTCACAACTTAAGTAGAAGCTGAGCCTTCCTTTTACAATTGTAGCCATTTAAGGAGTAGGGTCAGAAAGTCAAAGGTAAAAACTGGATAATTCCAGAATCCTTGAGCCTAATTCCAGTTTTTTATAAATGACACCTTTAATCTTTTTTCAACAGACTGGTAATAAAAATCTATTATTGAAAATGGAAAATGTTAAAATATACATAAATAACATAATTTTCTGTAAATAATTTAAAATGGCCAGGATTCCTAGTTTTGTATTTTGTCACTGAAAACAAAGCAAAATATGAGTCAGAGAAGAGACTTAATTAATAATTGGAACAAAAGCTCACTATCAGTATGAGAAAAAAGCATTAAAAAAAGTAGCAGATGCCATTTCTCATGAACTATTTAGTTGATTTTAAATGTAATCATTTAAGCAAGAGCAAATAAAAATTAGACTTTCAAAATAAAGTACTTTATTTTGGACCATAAAACACATTTTTTTACAGTTATATATTCATCATAGAATGACTGTCAACAGTAAAAGTAAAATAAATTGCAGATAATAACAAATTGCTTGCTGTATTCAGTACTTACCAATTTTTTCCAGTTGTTTGGATACATACAGAGAGTTCTCCCAAAGTTTACACCTAAAACATTTAGCTAAAATCAGACTGTTCAATAGCACAGCAAACTTCTTTTCTTGAGCAGCTACAAAATCTGACAGCCCTGAAAAAAAGTTTCCAATGTTAAACTTGGTGTGCTAGTTTACTGAGAAAACACTGAAAATCCACTCTCCTGAAACATACATCTTGCAATTCGTGAACCATTTCTGAAAATCTTCGAGGTATCTTGTGTCAAAGCAAAATCTTGTATAGGAATGCATCCTAGCTGGGCCTGGATAAGACTGTGGAAAAAGAAATTTCATTGTTTCCTTTGAAAAGTTACAGTATTCAACATTATTGATTGAAAAATTGTTTCTGTCTTGGTTTGTATTATCTCTGAATTCCTTTTCCCAACCTCCAAAAGTTCAGTCTTTCTCTCTCTCTTTTGATGTCTACTTAAAGAAGAACAGATCTGAAATTTAGCAAAACAGGAATGCATACATGTGAAAAGTTAGACCACATGTAAATTCTGCAATAAGAAATGACAACTCCACATTGATGCATACTCTTTTCTTGGCAATTCTCAAATAAGATGCACAAAGGTGGGAGATTATAGTAATAATTTAAATTATGGTATGCATAAAACCAATTATAACTCATCAATTTTTAAATCTGACAGCCCTAATCAAAAGAGTGTAGAATCCAATTTTAGGCAGAGTATAGGAAATCATTAAAATTTCAAACAAAATGTTTATAGGGAAATACCTTGATTTGATTCAGTAACTAGTGTAACAGAGTATATTTAAAGGGGACCTGGGAATGTGGCTTAGTGGTAGAGCGCTTGCCTAACATGCACGATGCCTTGAGTTCATGTGCCTCAGTACCACATAAACAGAAAAAGCCAGAAATGGTGCTGTGGCTCAAGTGGTAGAGTGCTAGCTTTGAGCAAAAGAAGCTCAGGAACAGTGCCCACATCCTGAGTTTGAGCTCCAGGACTGGCAAAAACAAACAAACAAACTAAAACAGAGTATACTTAAAAAAACAAAACAAAACAACAACTAAGTGAATCAAGCCACCCAGATTCTAGTTCTAACTTAGTCCTTAATGTAGCATCATACTTGGCAAGTCATAACATACCCAAATATTACTGATTCATTTGAAAATGACAAGTTTGGACTACATAGTCTCTTAGTTCTCTGTGATTTCTAAGGACATGTTAATTACCAGAGAAATACAGCTAAGACATAAAATATTAGCGTCTATGTTCAAGATATAGACCTGCATGATGAATTGCATACATATATTTAGAAGACTGTTTCATAGGCATATTAGAAGATAAGATTCAATGAGATGTCAGGAAATAACCCAAAGAAATAATAATCTCTAGCTAAGGAAGAAAATTAATTGGCTAGTTGATTTCATTAAGCTACATTAAAAATGAGCTTAATGTACTTTAAAATGACCTCAGTACTAATACTTAGTACTAAATACTTAGAAACATTAGTACTAAATATTTAGAAAACATAAATACTTAGAAATGTACTTTGAATAGAAGAAAATCATACTACTGCCTTTGTGATTTCAAACTGTGTAGACAAGTGTAAACTTTAGTGTTCCAATTACTACTTATATATACATTCCCCACTATTAGCAGAATAGTAATCCACTATAATGTATGCTTCCCTCAATTCATGTGTTGGCTTATTTGTCTTGTCTAGACTGTCACTATCATTTAAATACACGTATTACATTTGTTTTAATGGTGGATATTATTTTTATGCATGGTTATCATTCAAGCCAGCCTGAAAGCTCCTGATGATAAATATAAACAGAACATTTTTTCTATTGTTTACTTTTCACCTCAACAGAACACATTCTTAACGATATTCATTTTTAAAAATATTCACTTTTTTTGGTATGGTGCTGGTGATTGAATCCAAGGTCTTGCACATGTTAGGAAAGTGTTCTGCCATTGAGCTATACTCCCAACCAGTAAATTCATTTTAATTAGTCTGAAAGTTGTTTTTAAATTTTTTAGTTATTAAAGTAGTTGGATAAAGAGCTTTCAACTCAATATAACAATTTGAGTACAATGCCCCATCTTGATTGATGTCACACCTTCCATCGTTCTTCTTCAGCTCTCCTAGCCCCAGTCTGAAAATCCCTGAAAATTAATTTCACATCTATAATCTGCCCCCTAATTTTAATGGGAATATTCTATTTTTTGTATTATGTAAAATAAATTTAAAATATGCTTTAAAGCTAAAAAAGAAACCAAAAGTGGTGGTGCACACCTGTAATCCTAGTAATTTGGGAGCAGAAGTAGAACGATTGCCAGCCTTGTCTACATGACACCCCATATCAAAAAAAAAAAGAATAAGTAGATGTAAACCTTCATTACTATGAACTAGGGACCAGTAGGCAAAACAATAAAATATTAAAAATTATTATTACCAATTTACTTTCATTTCTGTTGTTTTAATTCTTCCGTCCATTGGAAATCTATAAATAAAAACATATGGAAAAACTTTTATGACCTACTTTAAGTAAAACTTCATAAAGTTATTTTAAATATATGTAATTTCTGTACCTGATAGTTATCCGATTTGGACTTTTGTTCAAAGTATTCAGTGTTTTCTTTTCATTTATCCTTAACTGTACATCTAGAAATTCATTACAGCTGGCGATCATTGAGACCTACAGAATTTAGGAATTTGTCCACTTAATATTAAGTTCATTTTCAACTTCTTTTATCACATCTTATTTCTCTACATTTACTTATTTTTCATGCTGCCTGGGGACACCATGGTTTTACCAATTAATAATTCAGAGCGTGCTTTATATATTATACTTAATAAGTGATGTAATTAGACATTAGAACTATACCAATTAGATTAGAAAGATCAGAAAGACAAAATTTACAATATACAACCCAGTGCCTAATGCATAGTAAAAAGCACTCAATAAACACTGTTCTTTTTCGTCTTCCTTTATAGCCTTCTATATCTTATCAGTCATAATTCCAAATATTTAATAGAAAATAATGCTTCAGGTAATAAAAAATTTGCATTTTATAGACTAGCTTTGTCAGATGACTAGTAAGCACACTCTGTGCTTTGTTTCCCTTATCTATAAATGGAACTAACACTTGTTCTAATTTTCTTGTTAAACTAAAGATCAGATCAGTCATTGTTAGTATTGGATATTTTATACTTTTATTTTCTTCTTAATGAAGAATATTTACATGAAAATATAAACCTTTTACCTTTCATAAAATTTTGTTCAGGTGATTTCTTTATAACAACTAACATTATCTTATATAATCCTTAGTATACTAATCTTATTATGCTAATCAACACAGGTATTTAAAATTAAATACAATCATTTCAATTTGAGATTAAAAATTTTATTTTACAAGTATCTTGTTTCACATTCATGTTTCCAGCAAAGAGAGGAAGAATCAATGTAGACAACAGGCACTATAAATATGCCTGTTGCCAGGTGCTCTATAATCCTAGCTACTTAGGAGGCTGAGATCTAAGGATCACAGTTCAAAGCCAGCCCAGGGGAAGAAAGTCTGTGAGACTATTATTTCCAGTTAACCATTGGATAACCAGAAATGGCACTGTGGCTCAAAGTGTTAAGAGTACTAGCTTGAGCACGAAAGCTCAAGGACAGCACCCAGGCCCTGAGTTCAAGTCCTATGACACATACATACATATACATACACACTCACTCACACACACACACACACACACACACACACACACACACACACACACACACGGAAGGAAGAAAGAATATGCCTGTGATGTGGCTGCTACAGGTGCAAAATTGTCCCCACTGTGACATTTTAACTTAATATTCTCATCTTCATAATCATTTCTTTTTTCTGGACTATAATTGATACTATTTTATTTCAACTGTTACTGCTATGCTGGTGCAAAAGATTTAGGGAAAGGTTGCCACAACCCTAGATTCCAACTCACTGTCCTTTACTCATACCAGACTTTCTTAATATATCATGCTACATTGTCCTGAAATCTCTCTCACATATTTGTCACTACCAAATTAATTAGCATTATCAGTTAAGTTGTAAATAGTTATTACACCTATTTTGAGTATGTATATAAACTTTCTCAGCTCTGATAAAAATGCAACTGAAGACCAAATATATTCTAAGACATATTTCATGTCTTATGACAGAGATACACTGAAGGGAGATGTAATTACAAATGCTTTCCTTTTGGGGCTGGGAAGGTGGCTCAGTGGTAGAGTGCTTGCCTTGAATGCATAAGGCCCTGGGTTCAATTCCTCAGCACCACATTAGCAGAAAAACAGGAAGTGGTGCTGTGGTTCAAGTGGTAGAGCACTAGCCTTGAGCTGAAGAGCTGAGGGACAGTGCCCAGGCCCAGAGTTCAGGCCCCATGACCAACAACAACAATAAGAAAAAGCTTTCCTTTTGACTTGTTCAATAATAAATTATATGAAGCATATATAATAGTTTCTTCTCCAATAGTTTTTGTACTATATCATTACCTATTTATTGTTCTCATGAAAGTTAACTTACCAGATCTGATAAAGTTTCTTTTCCACTGATTGTACAAAATTTCTTCACTGTCTCAAATGTAATATAATACCAAGCCATCAATCTTCCTGACTCTGTAAGAAAAAAATACAAAAAATAAACATTCTCTATATTAGCTTTAAATGATTAAAAATCATTTTAACAACATTTCCTTAACCTCTACTCTTGGTTGATAATGGAGATTACAATTTAGTTTTACTATGATCTAAATTTGAGGAGAAAAAAATTAAATTTTTGTTAGGGCAACAATAATTAAATTTACCAACAATCATAAGAAACATTACCTGTTGGTTTGAAATTAACATCACCATCCATCTTTATCAAGTCCAGGGATGACAAGTCATTAAGATTTTTCAAACATAATTCTGTTCAATAATAAAAATCATTTCAGTGAAACAGGGAAATAAGGCAAAATAGAATTATTATTAAATATGCTATAGAAATGTTTCTAATAGTAACAATAGTATAAATAAAAACATTTAATAATAAAAGGAGATTTAGCACATAGAGCACTTGAAACAATATATATGTATTACCTAGTTAATTCTCAAAATAATATTATTATTTCCATACACAGGTTGGGAAACTGAAGAGTAGAGGCTAAGTAATTTGCTCTAGGTTGAAGGAATTGTAGTGCTATTTGTTTTCCAATATGAAACAACTTTATTTTTCTTTGTTTTAAATTTTTATCAAAAAGACTTATGCTCAAAGTATATAGTCAAATAATCCTACAAAATTTGTTACAAACCCCCAGTCTTTCCCCTCCTTCCTGTTTGTACTTCATTGGACAACCACATAAACCTGTTTTAGTTGATGATTTCAGTATTTACTTCCATCTAACTGAGCACAATCACCATTTCTACCTGGAATAGGAAGCCCTATTACTACAATTGACATGGATTAGTAGATCACTAATAAGTGTATTCTGCTAATTACAATTTTTAATCTACCCCATAGTAGAACCCAGAAAAACTAAGATAGTTCAGAGCAGAGTAAGTAGTAAAACCTATTCAATCCTCTTCCCCTCCTCTCTCTGTCTCTGTCTCTCTGTCTGTCTTTCTCTCTCTCTCTCTCTCTCTCTCTCACACACACACACACACACACACACACACACACACAGAGTCATTAGAAGTGTTTGCTTAGGAAATACTTTAAGCAACATTGTTTTGGCAGTTGGATAGTTTAATGTGTTTGCTAATTAAAGCTCTTGAAGTCTTTTCTAATTTTCTTAGACATTTGTGGGTATGTGCTGGTCCTGAGGTTTGAAATCAGGGCCTGGGAGTCACTGAGCTTCTGTGTTTAAGGCTAGCACTCTACCACTTGTGTGCCACAGTCCTATTTGGCTTTTCTGGTGGTTAAATGGAGTCTTACCAACTTCCTTCCCAGGATGGCTTTGGATTGTAATCCTGAGGTCTCAGTGTTTTAAGGAACTGGGATTATAGGCATGAGCCATAGGCTCCCAGCTTAGACATAATAAGGCAGCTCATTACCCATTAATCAGTCAACCAATCAAGGAAGAATGCTTACTATACTTTATGCACTATTCTAAAGGTTTATCTACTAGGTTCACAGCAGTGTATTTTCCTTATATTTTACTTAATCAGCAAATTGTGGTTTAAAAAAGCAATCTACACAAATAAAAGTTTTGGTATTGAAAGCTACTATCATGAAAAGTAAAGCTGAGAAAGGCTAAAGAGAATGTAAGGTTTTTTTAAACTTTTAAATCTTGTATTTCTAATATATTGCTACATAATTTCTAATATAAAGGAAGTATATAGTCACCCTGATTTTCAAAATAAAGACATTATCTTCTCCAAGAACAAGGAGAGCAACAAAAATGACATCACAAAAATCTATCTTTCTCTCAGTAAAAGTAGATTTAAATAAGCTGATACATAGAAAGACTACGCTGAGTAGCTGATTTTTAAAGAGGCTTGAATGAAATAAAGATATAGGCCATGTGAAATACTTGAGAAGTGTTTCAAGAACAAGAAACAGACTGTGTAAAAGACCTGAGTAAGAACAACTAGGTTTAATTAAAAAAACAAAAGCCAATATGGAGACAGAAGAATGAACAAGGGGGAAAGCTAAAGTGAGAAAAACAGGCAGGGATGAATCTAGTAGGATTCTGTGGGCTCTGGTGAGAATTTGCATTTTATTCTAAGAGTGAGGTGGAGTTACTGCAGGACATTGAGCAAGAAGACATAATCAAGTTTAGAATGCAGCACACATTATGCTAAGGTCCTTTCCTGAGAGATTTAAGGCAGACTTCATAAAATACTACCCCAAAGTACTCTAAAACAACGGAGATACAAAGGCTTCAGAATCATAGATTACTATAATCTGTCTGCCTTTCTGTTTGAAGCACAGTAATATTCTGACCTTCCTAAGTTTGTAGACACTTAATCTAAAGAGTTCCTGCCATACATCCAAGAGGAAGGAATGATACACAAATAGGCCAAGAAAAATCTAACAAACTGGCCTTTCTAAGTTTCAGTTTATTACCAATAGGTGATACTCATTTTGGCAGTCATAATTCTACACAACTGTCTACCTCTCATCATACTTAAGAATAAAATCACACATTAAATAGTAAAGTTCTTTTCAGAAAAAACTCTTTGGATCTCTGGATCTCCATTTTGGAAGGTTCCAATGGCATGTAAAATTTTGATTAAATAAATATATTATGCTTTTCTCCTATCCATCTATCTTCTCTTATACGTATATCAGCCATGAACATTGCAGTGAGTAAGGAAAAGATACTAATTGTTTTCTTCTTTACATTACCAATTCTTTTCAGTTATATAATGTTCTTTATAAGCAAAACTTATCTATGAAAATAAGGCAAGCATGAACAATAATTCTCCCAACTTAACAAAAGATAAAATATTAAAGTTATATAGTTAAATATCCCTTGAATTATCTGATTTTGTTTATGTGTTTAATCATTATTATTAAAATATACTTCAGTTTAAAAAAAATTAGAAAATTAGTCAGTTGTGGATAATTTACAAGTATTTTTCAACAGCACATTACGAATATATAGTTATCATTGTTTCAACAACAAATTTACTCTTTAAAGAAGATAGCTTATGACTTTATCCATATCTTTGAAGCTATATTGACCACATGTGATTATCAAAGTAGACAAAAAAACTAAAGTTCACAAAATATTTTTAATGAATTCATTATTTTTCTTTCACTGAAAGACAGTCTCAACACAATGAAGAGCTAGAATATCTAATTCTAATAAGTGCCTAATATTTTTATATTTTTAAGACACAAGCAGTAAAACACTAAATGATTAATTGAATAAGAAAGCTGGGATATGACAAGAAAATATCACTGGCAAAATAGGGATAAGAAATTCATCACCAATGTAAGCTTATTTTCAATTAAAACTAGGCTACAAAATAAAAATAATTTTATTACTAAGCAGCATTTTCAAACACTATGGTCACTGTACAAATAAATAAGCCAAGTTAACATACTATATACAATATTAATCTAAATGCTAAGCTTTATTTATGTGTGGAAAAGAACTAGTTTATACTTTTTTCTGAAAAGAAGTTTGCTATTTAGTAATAGTTTACAAAAGAATATGCTTGCGTTCATAAAAAATTTTAGAACATGTTATTTCTGGGAGGAATTTCATCTAACCTTGTAATTTTGCTTCAATTCCTTCTTTGTTCAATCCAGATTTAAAACCTGTGTAAGCCATGAAAATTTATTAAAAAGTTAAAATAGAGTGGATTTAACTTATCTTTTATAGGTTCAGTTTATACCATCACTTGGAGAAGAGTACTAAATATCATATAGGAAAAATAGCTTAATGAATTGATGCGATGAACTCTCTATAAATTATTTGTTTTACAATCCTTTCAATACCAATTGGCTATCTTTTGCCTCTTTTTTGTATTAGCAGTGAACAGAACTACGTGAAATAAGAACTATGTGAAACAAATCGCTTAGGTTTTACACACAATCATCTGCCAAGTGACTATTTTCTAATGGATTTTCATTCTAAAATGAGCACTGGTGGATCACATCTATAATCCTAGCTACTCAGGAAGCTGAGATCTGAGGATTGGGGTTCAAAGCCAGTCTGGGTAGGTAAATCCATGAGACTCTTCAATTATCCACCAGAAAACCAGGAATGGAACTGTGGCTCAAATGAAACAGCCCAAGGACAGAGCTCAGGCCCTGAGTTCAAGCCCCAAAACCAGCAAAAAAGCAAAACAAAACAAAAAACCAAACCAAAACAGAATAAAACAAAAAGAATGTTTCTATGAGAGTAGTAATACAACCATTTTGGAAAACTGCTATTTTGTAAAAAGTACATATGCTACTAACACAATTATACAAATATTTTCATACTGAAGGATATATATATATATATATATAAGTTCACATCAGTATTATTTAAAATTAAGAATTTTTTTTTTAAATCAAAGATGCTTTTAGGATGTGAAAAACCAACACACTTGGAGAAAAGATTTGAATATATACATTTGACAAGCTTTTTACTCAACAACTTCTATATATTAACCATAAAAATACAAAAAATGTGATTTAAAAGTAGGTAAAAGATTTGAACAGGTACTTCTGAAACAAGATGTTCAAATGACCAATAGGAAAAGGTCCCAGTGCAAGTACTCAACAAGGAAATGCAAAATCAAATCAACAACTACTACTACCATTACTATTACTACTATGCTACAACTACTCCTCATATACATACTATACACAAACACACACAACACAGGGCAACGACTGATATTAAAAACTAATAAAACCAATTATTGATAATCATGTAAAGGACTAGAATTCTTCTATATAGCTGTTGACAGGGTAAGTTGGTTCAACTGCTTTAGGAAAATTACTGTGTTTGAGTTATCTACTAAAGCTAAACATAAGTTATAGGCCTACTTTATTTTACTACTCTTACATAGATATACTCCAAAGAAATGAATGCTCATAACCAACAAGAGATACATACAGGATGCTGGGTGCCGGTGGCTCACGCCTGTAATCCTAGCTACTTAGGAGGTTGAGATCTAAGGATTGTGGTTCAAAGCCAGCCCAGGCAGGCAAAGCCATGAAACTCATCTCCAATATACCACCAGAAAACTGGAAGTGGTGCTGTGGCTGAAGTGGTAGAGTGCAAGCCTTGAGCTGAAGAGCTGAGGGAAAGCGCTCAGGCCCAGAGTTCTAGCTCCATGACTGACACAAAAAGGGGGGTGGGATCCATACAAGAGGAGAGTAGTTGCTAAAGTGGTAGAGTGCTTGCCTGGCAAGTATAAAGCCCCGAGTTCAAACCCTAGTACCTACAAAAAAAAAAGATACATTCAAAAATCGTAATAGATGACTAAATTGTATATCCATACTGGGAACAGCACAATAATAGCAAAGAACAAACTACTATGAATACACCTACTTATAATGGAATACTCTCATTAATATTATGTTGAGCAAACAAGAGAAAAAGGGTAAATATTATAAGTAAATGCTTGCATTTGTATCAAGAATGCAGCTAATATATTGTGATGGGAGCTTAATATTCATTTTGAAGTGGTTAATATTTGACAGGAAATTGGCATGAAGTAACCTGTGGGAAATATTCCTTATCTTGATCTGGGTGTGGTTATGCGTATGTGTGTACATATGTAAAACTTCATCGATCCTATCCATAAAAGAACTAAAACAGAAAGGGATAGAGGTGTGGATCAAGTGGGATAGCACCTGTCTAGCAAGCATGAGAAGGAAGAAATGCAAATTAAAACAGAACATTATTTATACATAACACTGATAAAAATATACCCTGAAGGTAAGGCTGAACAAACAGAAACAATAGGGCACCATCGAACAAAGTTGGTTGCTATGTAAGTCATTAAGGTAGCAATGTAGCAACAAGTATCAAATTTTAAAAATTTACCCAGTAATTCTAGATATTTATATACAAATGCATTTACACTTTGAAAAATACAAGGTTATTTTTCACTTTGTTCACAATAGCAAACAGTTACTTTTCCACTTTGTTCACAATAGCAAACAATTTAAAAAGGAAAAAGGTACAAAACAGTAAACAGTGGTGATTAAAAATAAAGACCTTAGCCTGGTGCTGGTGGCTCACACCTGTAATCCTAGCTACTCAGGAGGCTGAGATCTGAGGATCACGGCTCAAAGTCAGCCTGGGCAGGAAAGTCCATGAGACTCTTATCTCCAAAAAACCACCGGAAGGGACTGGGAAGGTGGCTCAGTGGTAGAGTGCTTGCCTTGCATGCCTGAGGCCCTGGGTTCGATTCCTCAGCACCACATAAGCAAAAAGAAAAAAGCTGGAAGTGGCACTGTGGCTCAAGTGGTAGAGCGCTAGCCTTGAGCTGAAGAGCTGACAGCGCCCAGGCCCAGAGTTCAGGCCCCATGACCGGACCCAAAAAACAAACAAAAAACCACCAGAAAACTGGAAGTGGCACTGTGGCTCAAGTTATAGAGCTCTGGCCTTGAGCTGAAGAGCTGAGGGACAGTGCCCAGACCCAGAGTTCAAGCCCCATGACTGACAAAAAAGTAAATAAAAATAATAATATTTATATTCTGATACTGACTTTTGAACTAAGCAAAAATACTCTCTAAGTAGAAATACAGATTGTTAAATAACACAGTTATTCATGGAGGTATTTTCTTTTTAGTTGAAACAGGTGCTAGTTCAAGCCAGCCTTCAAACTGAGATCCTTCAGCCTCTACTTTCCAAGTGATGGAGTTACTGATGACTGCTACCACACCCTGGCTGAGATTCTTTTGTAAAAAGGCTTATATTATCCTTGGAAATCTGAAAGTTTTGAACCTGTGTTGCATTAGAATGGTATTGCAATGAGTCAGGTTCTGGTATTCAGCAATCCTAATTATTTTAAGCTTTTAACTTGTTCTATAGGAAACAATGTAGGAGAACTAGATGTGTCTTAGCTTGAGAGCTAGAATGAAAGGCCACAGAAATAATATAAGTGAATTTAATTTCTTACAAAATAATGAACAGACACAAATTCAGAATAAGAGGCAGTTGACCATTTAGTATGGAAAAGATTGAAGACTTAAAAATTAACTATTTTAAATATTAGGCATTTTTCTTATTTTTACTAGTTGAAGCTTTCTCTCTGGTACTATCTTTAATGGTGTGAGTTGTAAAGCTCATTAAAAAGATTATAATAGAACACATAAAGTTTCCTCTTTCGCCTACTCTTGCCTCTAAAAGTATTTGTGACTGTTATTACTTTTTTGTTTCTGTTATCTATTAGTTTCTGTAATCTATTTTGTGAACTCTTAGTATAAACAGAGGCTCAGTGACTTGAAAAAATTATTACTTTTCCAGGACAATGTAACAAACCATAATGAGATGGGTTTTTCAAGGCTCTGATATAAAGCAAGGTTGATCGTATCCATTCCAACGCAATATTCACATCGGTGATAGTATGTAATACTATCTCTGCGTTTAAATGTTCAATAAGATGTCTGTGCAAACTAGGGAAAAAAACTCGGCATTATTAATATGAATCTGAAAACATCACCTTACTTTTAACTTTAATTATGTTCAATATGCTCACTGCTTATTTAACAATTCATGAAAGAAAACAATTTCTAAAAGTGTAAGAGAAAATCTGAAAAAGTCAATTCAACTACAAACTTCAACTTCTACTTGTTATGCCTCTAGAAGATACACTGACACTTTAAAAAAGGGTAGGAGGAAGAGTGAGCAAATGCAGTCACTATTTTCAATGTATGTTATGTAAAAACTGAACTATGTAAATTGAGGGTAGGAATGGGAAGGGGGAAAATGGGAGAGAATGCTGAAAGGGGTGACAATGATCAAGATGCATTGTATTCATAACCTGACTTATGGAACCGTAACCTCTTTGTACAAATACTTAATAATAAAATAAACTGAAAGGGTATGTGTGAAGAGTTGAATTATATCCTATTTTCCTACTAAATACTGAATGCCTTTCTCTCAAATTGTCTTTCGTATTATAAAACAAATTTAAAGATTATAATCATTTACTATAAATTAGTAATTATAAATTTTCATATTTATAAAATTTAATGTAATAATAGCTGGTAAGATCTTATTACAATTTAGGCCTTTTAAGCAAAGGACAAAAAGCACCCTTGAATAAAATTATTTTATTGCTATTTTTGAAAAAGAATTGTTTAGTATCTTAAAATGACTTTAGTTCAACTGTTGGAAATTTTGAAGAAAATCACCTTAGAAAACCACCAAACTAAGTTTTTTTGTAATATTTAAAAGAAAAAAGACAAGTTGTATTAGCATTATTATCTTTTTAGAATTTTTCTGTATTACCTGCTTTCTATAGTGTCACTACAAGCTAACATTTGAATGTACTTGTCTCTGGTACTTAACCGAGTCATAATAACTGCAGTAGCTGTAGTGTCAAAGTGAAAACAAAAAATCATACAGAGAAATTCAGTAAGGATTAGAGTGTATCACTGACACCAGTTCAATAACTCAAGACCTTCTTTTTATACTAAACAGTCCCCGTGCCTTAAAATAACAGGCCTGAAAAGACTTAAATACTGCTTCTGAATTTGAATGTTAACTAAGAATGTAGTTTAAAAACCTTCCAAGAATATAATTGCAAATACTATTTTTGTTTCAAGTTAATATAATTTTTCTTTTTTTGGGGGGTCCGGTCGTGGGGCCTGAACTCTGGGTCTGGGTGCTGTCCCTCAGCTCTTCAGCTCAAGGCTAGCACTCTACCACTTGAGCCACAGCGCCACTTCCGGCTTTTTATTCTTTTTGTTTATGTGGTGCTGAGGAATTGAACCCAGGGCCTCCTGCATGCAAGGCAAGCACTCTACCACTGAGCCACCTTCCTAGCCCAAGTTAATATAATTTTTGCAATATTGAAGTCAAAACAAACCAGTAATTGGTATAGTCTATACATAATCTTATTTATCCTTGTAAATTTGTTTTATATATATATATATATATATATATATATATATATATTTTTTTTTTTTTTTGGTGCTGCTCCTTGGGCTTGAACTCAGGGCCTATGTGCTGTTCCTAACTACTTTTGCTCAAGGCTGGTGCTCTACCACTTGAGCCACAGCTCTACTTTTTTGTGGTTTAACACTGATAAGAGTCTTATAGACTTTCTTCACTGGGCTGGCTTCAAACCACGATCCTAAGATCTCAGCCTCCTGAGAAGCTAGGATTAGGTATGAGCCACTGATACCCAGCTAACATAGTATTTTGATACTTTGAAAAGATATTCGTCCTGAATGTTCCTTGAATGTCTATATGAATGACTTCTTTATCTAAGGATCTGTCAGCACAGGGTGTATTTTAAAATGTATACAGCTGCTGGGCATCAGTGGTTCACACCTGTAATCCTAGCTATTAAGGAGGCTGAGATCTGAGGATCACAGTTCAAAGCCAGTCCAGGCAGGAAAGTCCATGAGACTCTAATCTCCAATAAACCACCAGAAAAAACCAGAAGTGGCACTGTGGCTCAAGTGGTAGAGCGCTATCCTTGAGCTGAAGAGCTGAGGGAAAGCACCCAGGCCCAGTGTTCAAGCCCCATGACTGACATACGTATTATATATATATATATATATATATATATATATATATATATATATATATATATATATATATATATATATATACATGTATGCACACACATATATATGTATATGTGTATATGTGTATATACATACATGTGTGTATACACATATGTGTGTGTGTGTATATCTAAAGCAGCAGCTTGAGGCAGAAGAAAATAATTTTCTTTCTCTTTCAAATTGCTACCGTCTTTCTCTCAGGCCATTGGTTAAGGAGTTTATATAAGCTTTTAAATCCCGAGTATCCTTTGACCCAGTAGTTTCATGTCTGGAAACATATGTTAAAGAAAATAAGCTAAGATGATCTTGAGTATTTGAGGATGGCATATATGTATATGTATATGTTGATATATGCAAAATAATATAGAAACAATCTAGATATTCAACAGTAAAATGAATTATGACATATTCTTATGAATTCCTATGTAGTCATTGGAAAAAATGTTCAAATAATTTTCAATGATGATGTGAATATCCATAATGTATTATATAATGAACAAAGCAGAGAGACATCAAATCTCCCATATTTATTTGCTAATATTTAGAGGGAAAAACTTGAATATTCACAGAACAAAATACTAATAATGATTATTTGGGATGATAATTTCTTTTTGTATTTTCTATAATTTGTAATTTCTCTCATGAAAATTTTTTAAACTTACAATCAGGAAAACGCTGCATAATTTAAAATCCTTTATTCCATATCCCCATCCATTTTTCTTCCAGTTGTAAACCTCCTCTTCAGCCTTTAAAGCCTGGACCCAGATAAATAGAAAAGTCAGAGTAGTGACCAAGTGACTTAATATAAGAAAATCTTTCCAAAGCCAGGTGGTTCCAGTTCCAGTACTTTCTAGAGGATGGATTAGATAAGAGTAGACCTGCCTGTGCCTCAGGGTCCGCATCTGCAAAGTGCGTACATCGGAATATATGCATCATGAAATGGTTTCAGGATTAAATAAATTAGTGTTTTAAAGTATTTACTTAATAAATCAAGATAGATAATGAACAATGTCAGCCAGAGACACCTATTAAATTGTGAAAATTTTTGAAGATCCTCCTTTTCTCCCTCTGATTTTGGAAGTGATTGAAGGCAATTTGTTTCCTCTGTGCTTTAAAGAGAGGCAGGGTTATTGGAAGTGAGGTTGACCATCCAGTGAATGTACATCAAAGTATCAGAATGTACCTTCAAGAGCTCCCAAAGTACAGGAGAGACAATGGGAGCATTGCTGGTGCACATTAGGGTTTTGTTGGACAGCTCTGATGTAAATAAGATAACTCAATTAGTCATTAAGGTGAGGAGATGCCATCAATTGAGATCAAATTCCTGGGTGCATTCTTTTCTTCCTGGAGGAATCTGGAAACTTAGCTTATCACTCAATGAGAGAGAGAGAGAGAGAGAGAGAGAGAGAGAGAGAGAGAGAGAGAGAGAGAGAGAAAGAGGGAGGGAGGGAGGGAGGGAAGGAAGGAGGAGAGAGCTTTTCCTAGCCATATACAAACACAGAGTTAATTCATATGTCTTAGCCTACTGAAGAAAGAAGAAGTGATAGTTTTATTTTAATGGAAAATGAATTTTCTCACTCAGAAATATACACGGATCTGAGGCATCTTCTGTCTTCAAATAACTTAGAACCAACCAATATGTCAGTTCTTGATATATTGAAGCACTTAAGTAACTAATTATTTTAAAGTAAGAACAATAAAATGACCTAGATTTGATATTTTAAGTAAATTTGAGTTAAAAAAAAGTCTAGTCAGGGCCAAGAATACAGCTCAATGGTAAAGCACTTAGTGTAACATAGATTGAGTTGAGAGAGAGAGAAAGAAAAAGAGGAGAAAGAGAGAGAGGAGAGAGAGAAAGAGAGAGAGGAGAGAGTATGTGTTCTGGGTATCAAATGTCTAGTTTTTATGTATTTGGCATTGCTCGATCCCCAAGCCTATAACTTATTTGACTATTTGACCAGTATCTCCTTATACTGTATCCTTTTGAAACTAGGGCACGATTTTAACTTTATATTAGTATATCAAGTATTTCTATCTCAAAACTAAAGCTTAGCATTTTAAAAGCATTACTGTTTCTTAAACATGTCCAATTGTCTCCCATTTTATTTGCACATGTTGATCTTTCTGCCTTGGACATTTTATTTTTGGATGTTTGCATAGCTTTCTTCCACGTTGCCTTTAGGTCTCTACTCAGGTGAGGTCTCTGCTCAAGTGTTACTTTACTAGTAAGGACTTTTCTCTCCACCTTATATAAAGGAGCAATCCACTTCTGATTTTATCCACCCAGTATCTCTAACCTGTCTTCAATTTTCTTCTGAAATATTAAATGTTTTCTTATTGATTTTTATTTTTCCCCATGAGAAGAAAGGCTTCATAAGGACTTTTAGTTTGCTGTTTCTGGTACTCAGTCCAAGACCTGGACATAGAGTAGATACTCAGTAATTATTTCAGAATCTAATATGTTTTAATTTATTTTAATACATTATTATCTCAGATTATCTTCAAACTAGCCTTAGAGGGTGAGAAATATTTTGGGTTTCCAGAGAGAAAACAAGCCTAGAGAAGAAAAGCAATTACCCAAGTTCACACAACTTGTATGCATTGGGGTTATGGCTATCTTAGGGCTATAGTATACTCTTGTAGCCACTTGGGTCCTGATCTGTCTTGGTTTTCATGATAATCTCTGCTATAGGTGCAATCCCTTTGGTTTGAGTTGTGTAACACCCTGATATCTATGCTTTGAGTCATATTTCACCATCAGCAGTCACTTGCCAAGAGACTTGCCAAGAGACAGGACACTTTAATCTGAGCAGAACTTTCTTATGTGGACCACTTTCCCAGAATAACCACACCTACCTCAAGGGGGATCCAGCTCAGATTCTGTGTTAGTTTTATTTTCCTCATCATTGGGACAAAGTTTATGACAGAAACAATATAAGGGAGGAAGGACTTATTTTGGCTCACAGTTTCAGAGGGTTTAGGCCATGGTCACTTGACCAGGTTTCTGAGCAGGACATTATGATTGCAGGGGCATTCTTCCTTTTATGTCACACAAGAAGCAGAAAAAAAGAGGAAGCAAAGAGGTATATTCTTTAAAGACACTTCCCTTACCCATCCTCTTCCTCCAGCTAGGTCTAATCTCCTGAATTCTCACAACCTCTCAAAATAATTCTACCAATTGGAGAGTTACATTCTTATTCAAACCATAACAAATCCCTATCACTTCAAGGAGACTTCAGCGCAAATAGAAGATCAGTTCACTAAAGGACATTTACTGAGTGGCCCATGACCTAAGTTCTGAACTTAGAAATGGACAATAAGTTTACCATTAAGACGAGAAATTGAGAAAACAAATGCAAGCGTGAGAGAGTTTATCTGGATTGTTTCTTGTACAGCTCAATACATCTATAAATGGATCAGCATCACTGTATTCCAGTAATGTTCTTACAAAATCAGGTGGCAGACTGGATTAGATCTATAAGTTGGACTTTATTGACTTCTTTTCTGTTGTGGACTTCGGTGATGATTACATTTTTCTTAGGTTAGGGCTGGTGTAAGATCGAAAACAAATGAGAAGCATCTATCAAGCTCTTGAGGGCTTTGATGCTAAAGATGGGGAGAGGGACAAGGTGTTTTCCAATCACACCCTTGGGTGCCTACCTCTTCTTTCTGATGGTTACCTCCTTGGCCAACCAAGAACTTAGCCCTTGGAGACATGGCTGTGAAACACAGCAAACAGCACACTTCACTGAGCCAGGCCCACCCCCTCCTACTACAGAATGTGGATACAAACCCCTCATGTATTTCTGTAATTGGAAATCATTCATCCACACAGTGTCTGGTCAGTGAATTTCTCCTTTCTTTTGAACTTTCCCTATCCAGAACCTCCCATAGTGCTACAAATGCCTCATGCCATTGTGGTCACAATACTTTCCCCATGGAATTCTGACTGTTCTTAAAGGCATATTCTAGAAGTAGCTATTTTTTTTAGGCTCGCTCCCTGCTTTGACTATTAAGCATTGCTTGTTGAGTACATTCTGTCCCAACTTGCCCCTTTAGCTCATTAATTTGCCTTTTTGGTCTTAGAACTGCCTGTATTTTCATTATTATTTAATAATTGATCTAAAGCTGGAGAGGGGTTGTATTTTTGATAAAAGAATTACAGAAAGAAAGCTAACCTCTTCGAAACAGCCAAGCCCATGTTTGAGGTATCAACTTCTCTTGCTATGATGAACAGAGGCCTTGGCTAAAGGAAGGCAGCTGATCCCACAGTCTGTTCAAATCTAGACAAATTACATTTCAGATGCTGCATTACTTTATATATTCTATGAGGTTAGAGTTCACAGGCCAACTTTCTTCAATACTAGATTTGTATATTTGGAAACAATTACTTTCTCTTGGTTCAAGCTTCTATGTACTTAAAACAGAGATACTAATAGTTCCTACTTGCCTGGCATTTTAACACTTACTAAACTTTAGCTGTTATTATTTATTCTAAGTACACAATTGGCTAAAGTTTGTCCCTCCTTTATAGGTAAATCTTCTTGAAGGCTTGTTGGTTACTGCAACTATGTCTTGGATAGGTGTGATATTCTTAAATCTTCTTTGCTGAATGAATATTTATATAGTCTATCTAATTGATCCGATAAAAATAATTCATCAAAGGAAGAAGAAAATAATAGAAGAAACACTTGCTTCCTGTAGACATGGGTTTTCAGATGGAAGGTTCTGTAGGATTTTCAATCCATATATCTTTAAATATTTAAGATTCCAAATTGACCTTTTGCTGAGTTTTCTGTATCTTGTTTTCAGAACTTATTTCTTACAGCTCTGAGCTAACCCCTACCGGCATCGGTCCCATAACAGAGAATGAATGTGCTTATTCCTAAATTATGACACTGTTTCTAGTTTTATCCACAAGGGATTCTTCCTATGTCTGACCAGAGCAGCGAGACACAGAAAACGATGACTTCCAACTCTTTCCTTGAAATGTGAAAAGTCATCTCAAAGCAAATATCTTGCATCTATATTGGATGCTACTACCATGTCATAATTGTCAGTTATGAGGATGCTCTGGGTTACAAAGCTGACATTTGAAGAAATGACTTGAAATGGGGACATTTGATCATATCTGCCATTTCCCATTCATTACTCATGAAAAAGTGGGTGGTTTTATAGTGATGTCACGGAATCCTGTCATCGTCAAATAATCTGTGTGTGAGTATATGTGTGTGTGTGTCACTTAATGCATATTCTTTTCTCTTTCTCTTACATTTTAAATACTGCAAGAAAGTGGGGCAATGCATAGAAATGAGTTTGCATTGAAGAAACTTCTGGAGCTGAAAAACAAAACAAAACAAAACAAAACAGTTGGAGACCTGAGTTTTGGGTCCAGGCCTTTCCTCCTTCCTTTTCATACATCACACTTCTCTTTTTTCTTTCTTCATCTTCTTTTTGTTTTCTTCCATCTTTACTTTCCTCCTTATTTCCCCTCTTGTTGTATGTGTTCCTATCCTTTTACTTCAGATTTTGTGACCAGTCTTTGTTGTAAAGAAAAATATATACCAGCTTGCTTCCTTTCGTTGAATACGCATAGTGATAGAGATTTTGAATTATTGTAATGGTTTGTCTGCTTCTGATGTTTGGTCTCTTGCTGAACATTTTAAATAATTCTGTGTGAGAATCTCTTCAGTTCTTACTTCCGTTTGTGTCATGGTGTGTCCCATTATGATGAGAAACACATCCAATTGTAAGAGTATAAATATCCCATTGAACTTCACTATAAGCATTTCATTCTTTGTTTACAGCTTTATGACTCATAAATAAAGCAGGGCAAGGATAGTTAAAATCTAGGAAATAGGTGTTCAACACATATGCACAGGGCTCTTATATCCTAAGGACCAAAGGTTTTGTTTTGTTTTTTAATTTGTAGGGTAAATACAATCTTCGAATTAGTCTGTCTGGTAAAATCTGTGCTTACCACACACAGATTGTTCAGCATTGTTTTGCCAGATTGATCTTTGACGAGATGGGATAAAACTAGGTTAAAGATAGAAGGGAGGTGTGGAGATAATCAATCATCATACAATTATATTAGCATTTTACTCAGGGGAATGCCAAGGCTCAAAAGTCATGGTTTGGCTTGAAGTTAATTGATTACCAGAAGAAGCCAGAGGGAAAAAAATCAGGTTAGCTATTACTAGTGAATACAGTCATATTGTTTATTATCAGTGAAGGCTGTCATAGCACTAAGAAGTTGTGGGTTGATAAGTTGCAGTGACTACAAATGACAGCATGATTTATACAAGTGCGAGTTCCATTGTCAGGTTGATTTAGGTTCAAATTCCAGTTCTTGCTTTCTAGCTGGATACCTTGGATGAGTTATTTAATTCTCTCTGGGCATCTATTTTTCCAAATGTAAGATAAAGGAATAAAAATATAAAAGTCCTTTACAAGGCAAGAGAATTATGTAAGTAACTTTCATATGTTAGATATGCAAGATATTTAATTATGTTTTGTATTATTGTTATTATTAGTGTTAATGTTACCCTCTTTATATGGTTTGGAGATAGGATCTCACAATATAGCCCACTGAGGCTCTTGAATTTACAGTCTCTATGCCTCAGCCTCCTCATTGCTGGAATTATAGGCATATATTACTAAGCCCAACTTGATACTTATTGTTGTTATTGTTATATTTCTCTTTCTGGGACTACTTCTGGGCTGTGCTGTTCACAGTATAGATACTGTATAACTGAGAATTTGATTCAAGTGGAGGTTAGATTTGCATTTTTCAGACACTGAGAAAAATCCAGTGCAGTCTGGTTGGAAGCAGAACTCAGAAGTAATTTTTGCTATGCCAAATGATTTCAAACGTTTTTAGCTATTCATTCATCATCCATCCATGTATGATCCTTCCAATTGTTGGTGGGTCTGTCTCAGACCCAGAATCATCAGAGATCTCTTAAAGTGTCAAAGAAACACTTATTGACAGCAGCGTTTATGCATTCCTTTTCATCCCCTTGGAGTAAGTTTTCACTGAATACAGGAGAGATTTTAATAAGTGTCTTATGTTTGTGTTAAAAGACTTGAGCCTACTCCAAAAAGAAGCAAAGAAGACATGCTTTGATAATGCTAAGCTATTGCTCATAAACCAATTCAACATGGCAGGAAGTCTTCAGAAATAATACAACATTTTGTTTTGCCTATATAATGGCATTTACTATTAACTAGTTCACTAAAGCCATTCCTCTAGGGTCATGGTACAAAGGCTTGTAAGGAAAGCCTGCTGCACTATAAAACAAACTTGACTGAACTGTGCCTTCAATTTTATTGATCCAGAATTCTTTCTTTCTTTCTTCTTCTACCCTTCTGCTATATTTTGGACCTTCCTTCTTTTCTTTGAAGATACATAAATGCTTTATCCCATGGAGAAACTGGGATAAGGGCTTTTTATTCTTTTATTGAGCAGCATAGAGCTGTGGTCACTCTTGGGGTGATACTGTCATGTTATAAGAAACTATGATAGAGAAGCCTTAAATAGAAAAAAGATTTGAGTCTCTTACGGTTTGAATATGAAATATTCCCAGCAGCTCATGCTTTGAGCACTTAGTCCCCAGATGGTAGACTTTTTGGGAGGGAGGTTGTGAAAGTTTTAGGAAGCAAGGGCCTTGATGGAGGAATTAGACCACTGATGGCAAGACTCTGCAGGCTCTACTGGGGTCTCCATGCACTCTTCACTCTTTGCTTCCTGCCCACCAAGAGAAACCTCCTCTGTCACACATTCTGCCACCACAATGTTCACTCTAGTACATGGCACCCAACAACTATGGAAAAATATCTTGGATATGGTGAGATAAAATACACCCTTCTTAAGTCATTTATGTCAGTTATTTTGGTCACAGCACTGAAAACATAATAATACAGGTCTCTGCTTCTAAGCCTGTGACTGTATCCGCTACTTGAGAAGAAATAGAAAGGAAAGGAAGTCAAAGGAGATAGATGAAGGATCTCTTGAATCAGAGCTGCATAGAGTTTTGTGAAAAACATCTTGGGTTTGTTGTGACACTATCTGAGGTTGCAGTTTACCTTCAGTTTTGCATCCTGATCAGCTAGTGAATTATAGCAATGATTAGAGAGGGCTGGTTTTCTGAAGGACAGCTCAAATCCATAAGCTGTATGGCAGACTCCCAGGGAGAACAAAGAGGAAGATATTTTTGGATATAGACTGCTAAGAAGCATTCCCTTTTAAGCTGTCACCGGACCGAGGTTAACGTCTTGGGCATACAATGCCCATTCTCTAAGGCAATAGCTCTGAGTGGGAAGGAGCTAAAGAGAAGCAGCTCACTAAGAGTTACTGTACCAGTCAAATCACCAGTGGGAAGTATATCTCAAAAAGCAAGGTCTATGTTGGACCAGTCCCTTACATGTTGAGCCATGTTGAGCATGGTCAGAATGGCAAAAGTTTTGTTGTATCAGATGAAGGCCAGTTTCAATTCATCTTTCTTTCCTTCTTTCCTTTCCTTTTTTTTTTTTTTTTTTTTTTTTTGCCGTTTGTGGGCTTGAACGCTGCCCCTGTGCTCTTCAGCTCAAGGCGAGTGCTCTACTACTTGAGCTACAGCGCCCCTTCCGGTTTTCTGGTGGTTTATTGGAGATAAGTTTCACGGACTTTCTTGCCTGGGCTGGCTTTGAACCACGATCCATCAGATCTCAGCCTC